TCTTTTTCTGCACAACACGGTATAGTTTTTGTATCGAGTCACAGATCCATAGACAGCACCCATTCGCTTGGTATTGCTCCATCATCCGATGAGCGTACTGTATTGCCTTGTCTTTGGATAAACTGTCTGCACTGTGCTCTGTTTCTGTTTTACATTTTCTAATGTTCCTCCGTAACAGTTTTGTCCTTTATGTTATCTCTTGTTCCATTCGCATAATTCTTCTGTTTTATTTTTTTATTAATTTTAGAAATTTTATTCTTCATCAACGTTGTAAGGCGGGATTCTTCGTAGATCTTATTTCCTTAGCAGGGAAAGTTTAACGTTCAAAATTAAATCGGAAAGATGGACTAATCGCTGTAAACTTTTTCATGGACTCACTGTACCGTTAGGTATCGATCTTATGCGAACTTGTTTCTGCGAGCATTTCTGTATTGTCTCATCGTGTTTCATGCTTAGAAGAGATGAATCTGACAATATATTGCGCTAGTTAGAGGTTAAGAGTTATTTAAGACCTGAAGTTTTTACTTAAGCCCATAAGCTCTTCAGCGACATCCAGAATACTACATTTGTTAGTCAGGAACATGGAGAAATAAATTAGCGGCAGGTCTGCTTCTAAGAAGAATTGTTCTTCAAACGATGCAGTAACCGGCGTTTTATAGTAAAAGTGTTGAAAAGTTGCGAATACAGCTGATATTAAAAACCAGATGTGGCATTCCCTCTTTTTCTTTTCAAGTTTGATAAATGAGTGCCATTGATTTTGTGGGAAGAATGCAGGAAACTGCACGTTACGTTTGCTACGTGGCTGTAGGCTCTTCCTTAAAGAAAAGAAGGCACTCCTGGCTAATGGCATGAGAACGGAGATTAGCACAACACGATCAACTTTAAGAAAAGAAAAGCGCCAAAAGGGCCCAAGGATGAAAGTCAAGAAAGACCGATATTCCATTGTTAACATTGGCCGGACAAGTTCTGCTTATGCAAATGGATCTAAATGATGATCTCAACAAACAAACGTACATACGCTTTTTGTGCTTTTCAGTACTTTACTTTGAAAGTAGGTACTTTTTAGCTAAAAAATACGCGATGTTATCTGTGTTTTTTACGCTGCTGACCTGTTTAATTTAACGTCTAATTTTTGATACCTGTATGCTTCACGGTATCAGAAATTTAACTTTGAGTATGTTGTATGATCTGACAATTAATGAATTAAATATAAGGTTTCAGCTTGGGTATCGACCAAATATAATCTCTTTCGAGCTTAATTGATATGCCTTATTTAATTCTCTTGAGAGAGTCTTGTAAATTCCTACACCTCATCTATGTTATGGAAAGCGAGCAAGGGCGATAGTAAGTGATAAGATAGTTTGGATTGAATAACAGACGTATTGATTCTGGAGGCTGACTGCTTGTCTGACAGTCTATCTTCCGTGCTTTTATTTCCATGTGAGACTTGGACCAGAATATTTTCTTGTTCTATTGAA